CTTTAATATCAGAAGGTGCATTCTGAAAAGTCTAAAGTCAATCTTAATCCTACCAAAATATACAATCATAATCTTGAGGTGTAAAGTTAAAGAATTTGCATCACCTATAATGAGCACTTATCTTTCATGCACACAACACACAGCATCAAATTCCCATCACAGGTATTTCTCTTGGGACTGAATGGTGAATGAATTTTAAAGAGGTGTGATTGAATCCTAGGTTGGAAACAAATTCCAATGTCAACATGTTTTTGCCACTGTATCTACTCTTGCATTCTAGAAAAAGAAAAAACTAAACTATAGTTGGAACACTGCCTGGACATAATGGCTAACAAGTTGAACAAAGATAGATGTCTATGCGTTCAAAACATGCACATTTATTTTGGTCATTAACTGTAGATGTTTTCAAAAGGAATCCTGAAGTTCATCCTGCAAGGACAACTTTGGTTGGGTTAATACTTTCAGACATTCATATATTGAATGCCACCTTATGAAAACAGCACACAGAACTCTGCCCACTGAACTCCTAGATGTGTGACTAGGTAAATGAAGTCAAAGATAATTCTTAGGTTAAAGATTGTCAGCAGATGGCATCAATTAGGAGCTTAATAGTGAGTGTATTAGTGACATAGACATTCACTTTTAACAGGGGTAATATGTAATAGTAGCAAAGCAGACATTTCTACATTTATAGTTTACCAAACTTTGGTCTTAATGCTATATTTACACCTGGCAACTATGAAATGATATAGCAATAGTATGCCATCCAAGAGAGCTATTTAATTCTAAATTACACTGTCCTCCCCACAGACACACATCATTTCTGCACCTTGAAAATATTTAAATAAGCTGAATTTACATAGTTTAATTTGCTTCACAAACTCACAGATTTTATCCCCAAAGTAGCTACAAGATTCCTTACACCCCAAACATGTAGCATTCAACACAAGACAGGCTTCCTTTCCTGGTTTGTCAAAACAATCAGAATATCAAGTACTGTTCTTACAGCAATGGATATGTTTGTATGAAACTCACAGCTCTACTTAACTGCTATCCATTCAAGAAGCATCATGGATATAGCAGGTACATCTTTCTCCTGCCCCCTTGTAGGGATTATTTTTTATTTGCAGAGGCTCCCTGTAATTTTGACCTGATCTATGGATAGAAATTGCTCCTCACTGTAGAAATGCAACCCCAACTCATATGGGGTCAGGAGAAGCCACACAACACTGGGGAATTGCTAAATGCATGACTCTCTATTTGTGTGATGGCTTTTTAGAGGAGTAATGGCTGGTTAAAGCTTGCACACAGTTATATTTCCATGGTTCATACCCTTAAGTGGAATGCTACCTTCAGACAGAATGCAGGGTAATGCTTATACGTTGGTCTTCTCAGCTGTAAACTTTGCTTTTCACTTAAGAAATGTGACTCCTGCTGCCTACAAAGTTTCTAAGTGCTTCTGTCATACACTTGTCACAGCTACTATAAACCACATCATTAAACAGGATAGGCATGGGCCATATGGAGCACCCCAATTGCCTGTTTGTGGCCCATAGGGAATCCCAGAGTGAGCAGAGCTAAATATTTGAAATTATTTTGAAAGGATAAAGGAGCAAAATGAGTTCCTGATGCCTTAAAGCTCTTTGACATACTCAAAGTATGTCTTAAAAACTTGAATCATACCCCTCCCCCAAATTAGACTGATTTTTATCCATTGGGAAGGTAATTTAAGGGGGCATACAATTATTTATTAAATAAATCCATATGGACTATGGTGCCTTACATTTAACATAAAGCATAAGGCATCAAGAAAAGCAATGTATATTAAACAGCCATGATAAAACCAAAATAAACATCTACAGGGATCATTACATTAATCTAATCTAGTATCTTCAAGATTAAACATTAAAACATGCCCAGTAGCTGAAAAATGTCCAATTACTTCAACAAGACCATAGCTAACTCGTATCAGAAATTCCTACACCACCACCATCCAAGGTGACTATTAACTTCTAAAGGTCCTCTGGAACAATTCTGCGTTCACTCCTGTCCAGAAGGCTTGTACTCTGGAGGACAATCTATCATCCAGAGGAAGGCTATTCCAGAAGGCTGGTGCCATTATGACAAAACACTATCTTCTCATCCCAGCAGCTCTGAACTTGTTACAATGCAGGACAACCAAAAGCCTCTTCTTGCTTGATCATATTGGATAGGTCAATTCTGATTGAAGACAGCAGTCCTTTATCCATCTACCACCCTCCACTGAAAACAAGAAGCCCCACACTCTTTACACCCCTATATATACCTGCACTAAGCCATCATCCATTTGTTTCCTGAAGTCCAGTGGATGTGCGGTTTTAAACTAGATTAGATTTAGTTCTAGTTAAAACTGATAGTCACAAAAGAAACCTAAAGACAGAGTTATGTGGGAGACAGCCCCCTGCTCAGTAATAAAGCTCTTCATGCACTAGTACCCAAGGACAAATTCAGCAGGTCACGCAGCAAACCTCATCCTAAGATCCCAGAGTGCTAATGCTAGTCAAGAGTAAATCTTTTGAAGCTAGAAAACCAACATAGTGTTTATGTTGTTGGACTAAGAATGGGGAGACCAAGGTTTGAGTGTCCATCCTCAGCCATGGAAGCTCACTGGGTGACTCCACTCACCTCAACCTGTTTCATAAGGTTGCTGCTCTGGAGAACAAAAGGAAGAGGTTTCCTATATTGTGCCTTGAACTCTTGGAGGAAAGATGGGACATAAATCTAACAAATAAATAAAATAAGGGCCAATGCAGTTAATTAGTCTAAGGTTGTTCCTTATGAAAAGGAGGGATATAAAAGATTCCCACCACAAATTTCCATGCAAGCTAATTTGGGCATGCTGTTGCCACCAGTCTTCACAGTGGCACAAAGATTAGCATCACATGCTACAGGTAGTGGTCTTTTTCCAAACAAAACTCCATTAACAAAAAGAAACACTACTGAACATCAAATGCAAATGGTGTAGATGTGTTAACCCAAAGACCTGACATCAGGAGAGTTTGAATCTAAAAAGCCTCCCTTCAGACTTCATCAAAGAATTAAAAAAAAAAAATTAAAAAGGGGTTTGTAGAATTTACATTAATAGTTACATACATTAAGGGAAGTTGTATATAAAGTTGAATATTACAATATGCTTTATAGTCAGAGAACTGCAACACTTTCTAAAAGATATTTTGTTAAAATCTTCTGGAGAAAATGCTCCACTTAAATACTATCCGTTGATGTTCCATGTCATCTCATAGGACCCAAGAGGCACACCTTCTCTGTTGCTGTGCTTGCCCTTTGGAACGGCTTCCCCCCACCCCACCCCACAAGGTCCATTTGTCGCTGGCCCTCCTGTCCTTTCAGAAGCCTTCAAAGACCTGGTCCTTCCTGCAGGCCCTGCGCCAGCAAAATACAGGAATCCGGTAAAAAGTTGTACAGTTTCAGACTCTCTTCCCCAGTGTGCTTGCTTTATTGTTTTCATTTCTTTGGTTTTCTATTTTGATGTTTTTAATCCTCTTGTAAGATGCTCAGAATAGTTGGATGAGTATGTAGCCTTATTTAATTGAATAATGCAATAAATAAACGTGTGGACAATAAAATAATTATTCTTCAAGGATTTTTTTAAAACTTCTCCATCTACTCCACAGCCCTGGGATTTTCTGGTTGTCCCCCATCCAAGAGCTAACCACATCCAATCCTGCTTAGCTTTTCAAGAGCAGCCAAGGTTGGCTACATGTGGCCACCCACTCTATGTGTATGAATTCTCACCATTCAAAGAAAAGAAATCAGCATAACTCATTTCACAGTCTCCTTTCTTCCTGTACAGTATTTTGGAAAGTGAACTCATCTTTCCCCACAAAAATCCTACTGTTGAGGTGAAGATCAGAAATGCTAGCTTGCATGATGAGTGCACAGTGCTTTCACTGATTAACTGAGATCAAGCCTTCCTTGCAGCAGAAAAGAACATGAGCTGTGGTTCAAAAGTTCAAAGTTGCCTAGACAGAATTCCCAGCTTTGACCCAAATAGCTTGGATTTATAGCACAGAAACTACTGAGCACAGAAACAAGTTTCTCAAGACACTGCATTTCTCCCATGGAAAAGGCCTCGTGGGGATAATATTGTCCAACATTACACATGTGATTCAGGACCCAGCCCTTAAGTGTGTCAATGCTGTAAATCTGCTACAATGATTCCAGCATTCTCCAAGGCCCATTGGCTTCTGTGGGGAGGGGAGGAGAAATGGCAATGCGTATATGATGATGTCATTGCATTCTTCAACTTAAGCACCTGCACCTGAAGTTGTGATGTAGGTATGTAACTGCAACATTCAATGATGACATCCTCCGATGCACGTTGTCACTTCAACGTCACTGTGGTTTGTTATCGGTGTCACTGCCAAAGTCCTCTGCTTGGACCAGAATTTAACTGAGGCCCTTCCATCCTTCCCATTGCTTCAAGGCTGACTTATTTCTTTAGGAGGGGACAGCATAAGGCAGCCTGCTTTTATCTCTTTATAGATGGACAGAGAACATGCCAACTGCTTGAAGTTGTAACAGCTGTTCAGGAAACGATTATTTTTTTATTCAGGTAATCAGTTTAAACTGATTACATGAGAAAAATATCTACTCTCCCCACAATGTTGGAGAACATTTGTTCCTGTTTTTTGTTCTGTTATACAGTTTTTTGTGATTGAGCCACAAAGAAAAGAAAAAGACATACATCTGAAACCCACAGAGTCTCATGAATTCATTCAGGAAACTGTCTGACACAGATATTACCATGAACACTTCAAAGACTTAGCAATAACTCATATTTCTTTATGTGTGAGTTCATAGCCTTTTTTCCTCTTTTGCTCTGATCGCAACACATTGTCAAACAGCTTCATCAATTATCTATGGCTAAAAAGTGGACTCTAACATTTGGAGAGTGTTATTAATTGGCCTCAGTAGTGCATAATGAGTTTAAAAGCTCCTACCTGGGGGTCCCCGAGGAGGATGGCTAGTTGCGGACAACAATTTACAGCACACCATTAACACATATGCCAGGAACAGCCACTGAGATGGAAGCATTGATTTGGCACAGGAGCTCATCCTGCAGAAAAGGGAGGAGGAAAAAAAAGGAAGTCACTGAGAATGAAAGAACAATATGTAATTGGAAGTGATGTAAAATACAAGGCAAAAGCTACAGAAAAAAGGGAAGAGGACAAGTTAATGCAGACTGGAAATTAAACGAAATGGAGTATTAAAAACATAATACTTAAGGGGGTAGAATCACATTCACAACTAAACTGAGGTCAATTCTTGATCAGCCGTGCCTTACAAGAAAGAATGTAGAAGAACGCATCTTTTCTTTCCAATTTTTCTCTCTGGAGATGCTCTTTGTCTGATTCCATTATGAGGCTTAGACTATGAGCTATGTCTGATTGATCACCAGACCTTTCAACACATCCCGCCTATCACCAAATAACATCCAAAGTGTTCCTCTGAGGCAATCTTTGGGAGGAGCCTATTCCAAGAAGACCTTAGAATACCAGCATTTTTAGAAAATAAAATAGCTTTTTTTTTTTTTCCTAATAATGATGTATTAGAAAATGGTGGGGAGGATGCCCTGAGGCAGGAAAAAAAAAAACCAAGATAAACCTGGGAACTAGAAATAATCCGCATCAGCTAGAAGACAACCTTGCTCATTTGAATTCTGATAAAAGGGTGTTTTGTACCCATCCACAGCTATTTTGGGAACAGGCAGGCCTCAACAACAGGCAGAAATTTTGAGAGAACACTCACAGTGTACTTTCACAATTCCAAAGGGAGCAATCCAAAAACTTTACTAGCCTGTTTTATATTCTCAAGTAAAAAATCTCTGAAGAAGGAGCGAGGGAGGGAGGATCATTCACAAAGACCCATTTAACAGTAGATAGGGTTATAATATCCAATCTACTCAAATCTAAATGTCCATTAAAAGAGCAGCAAAGATTTAGAATGTTCTGAATCTCTTCACTTCTACCTATTGACTGCCTAGATTTTTGCAGCCAAGATCAAAAATCTTTTAACAGATTTTTAAAAATTGTTGGATGACTGGATTAAATATTATTCCTCATTAATAATAAAAAAAAGTACTTTTATAATGAAACAGTGTAATCAGGCAGTATAGCTTCTATTGTTATAAAATATAATTTACAAACATCTAGTATTCATATGCAATGTTATTTAGGAATTCAGCTAAATCAGATTTTTTCAAACTTGGCAACTTTAAGGTGTGCAGACTTCAACTTTCAGAATTCCCCAGGCTGGCTAGGGAATTCTGGGAGTTGAAGTCCACACATCTTAAAGTTGCCAAGTGTGAAAAACACTGGGCTAAATGATTCACCAGACCCCTTCCAATGTATATATTCTATGGTTTAAAGGAATATTGAGCAAAAAATCAAGTATACATTAATGCACAAATCTCTTCCCACCATAATCAGGCACAAATTCATTAGCAACTGCACAAATTAGGTTTGTACACAAAAAATGAACAAAGAAAATGTATATACAACAACACATTGAAATCTTCTATTTGTACAGAATTTGTACAGAATGTACAGAAAATTTGATGGAAGGGATCAGATTTAGACATAAAAACCTTGAACAATTTGGATTAAATTTTTTGAAAAAATATTCTAAAGAGAGATTTAACTGCTGCTTTGTAGAACGAGAAACAGAAAAGTCTACCATGAGAGCACCCTGTTTATCCCTGTTGTGGACCAATACTTTGTCTGACACGCACAAGTGGTGAAAATGTAAATGTACCCCATTCGGGAGGGAGGGAGAGGTGAGGTGAGGTTGGTATCATCTCTGGGTTTGGTACCGTAAATTATAATTTCTCCTTTGATGAACTGTTTTTCTGCCCTCTAGATAACATTGAATTGGAATATAGACAGAATGGGGAGAAAACAGAAATTTTAATTCTTTAGAGGCAGTGATGGATTTCCTCTGAACTGCTTTATTACTTAGAAGTGTGTTCTAAGTAATACATAATGCTAACTAAATAATTAAATGAGAGCCAGTTTGGTGTAGTGGTTGAGGCATCAGGCTAGAAGCCAGGAGACGGTGAGTTCTAGTCCTGTTTTAGGCACAAAGCCAACTGGGTGACCTTGGGCTAGTCATATCCTCTCAGCCCTAGGAAGGAGGCAATGGCAAACCACTTCTGAAATGCAGAGACTTGTCCAGGCAATTGCCAGGAGTCAAAACTGACTTGAACACACACACACACAAATCCCTAAATAAGTGGGCCCTGTTTGCTATATGCATTAATTACCCAATAATATGTTTGTGAATGGACACAATCACAAAGTAATTATCACTGTGTGTATGGTTTGTATTTCATGATTTTCTTCTTGACTCTCCTGTTCCTTAATCCCTCATCTACTCAATATACTACAGTATGTCCATGTGAAAGTGAGTGCATGTGTGTGTGTGTGCACATGTGTAAAACTAGCAACGCTGATGTCAGATCTTCATTTGGTTGGCCTGTCACCTGACCCACCAGGACCACCATGCATGAACTATCAAAAATCCCACAGGAAGCAAGGGAAGAGCAAAGGAGGCTGGCAAAGCCGCAGCCCCCCAGGATCACCCCCTGCCTCTCCATTCTTTTGCAGGCTAACTGAGGCAAACTCTTGGTCAGGGACAGAAGTGGGCAACCTGCAGCACCAGGGTCACATGCAAATCCACCCACTCCCCCACTTCTCAGACCCTTCTTTGGCCATGATGCCCAAATCTGAGAGTGGTGGTGAAAACATGAAAACTGAAATATTAGCCCTAAAATAAAATAGCATAGTTCAGAAAAGAAAAGCTGCAAAATCCCCCCGAAATATCCAGCCTCACTTGCCCCTCTGTACCTCCATCCATGTAAATTGTGGCCCCACTAAAAGATTGCTTTGGAATGGGGTTCCCCAAAGTGGTTCCCCAAAGTGGTCAATACTGACCCCCAAGGGTTGATGGGGCTATTCAAGGAGTCAATAAATGGCTGGGGGTCAAAAGGGGGTCAGTAAGTCTGGATGTCAATAGGTGGTTGATCATGGTGAAGGTCGATTGGGGTCAATTAATCTTTTGGGATCTCTGTAGAGCTCCCCACCAGTCCCTAGTCCTGATGGTGAAGTAGCTAGCAATAAGACAGTCTTACCCAGGGTCGGACGGTCAGCCACCAGCAAGAGCGTCCTTGAGTTGTTGTTGTCGTCATCATCATCATCACCATCGTTTGTAGTACTATTAAAGTACAGTGGTATCTCTACTTACGAACGCCCCTACTTACGAAATTCTCAAGATAA